CGTCACATGCTTTCCTTATCATCCTATGATTTGTCAAATGTGAGATACAGCGATTGAATAACATGGTACTGAAATTGACACCTTCGACTAGGATTGACTAAAAGTTTTACAACTGAGGTTTAAGATGCCCAGACACTGTTTTATAAAGAAAACAGACTAAAAAAGGTTTAGATACCAATCATAGATGGCAGGACCAGTGCTGAAGTGGAAGGAAATATTTTAAAAAATGTTTGAAAAAATTTTCTTCTTAGAGGGTACTTATTTACAGTCTAAAATGTATTTTAGGATTTTTTTTCACTAAATTCCTCTTTAAACTTTATTCAATGATACAATTTTGTATAAATAATTGAATGTCATGCTACTATTTACAAAAATAAAATCTGAAATCCAATAAAAGATAAGTTCTCTATAATTTTTTCCATTCACAAATGTGATTTTGCCCTCACAATAAGATCAAAATGGCCACGGCAGATAAAGGGTTAATGAGTATGATATACAAGTTTAATCTCTCAACTAGGACAAAGAATGGAATCAGTCTGTTTCAAGGAATATCAACAGATTAAGGCTCAATAATGAGGTCAATATACAACATCTTATCCCTATAATTGCACTCATAAAATTATAAATAGGTCTTAAACTGGCAATTAACCAAACAAACTTGAAGATGTTGTTTTAACCTAGATATTTAAGTATAAAGTACAAAGCCCAGTTAGTTACAGTGGGGTTAATATACCAAGAAATATTCATCAATAAAACGGACTATAATCATAACATAAAACAGTATAATTACATTTTTGGACATTAGAATCATTGATTTGTTAGCTGGATCCACTTCCGAGTGTTCACTTGCATAACACGTTCTATCTGCTCCAAGTATCTGCAAAATGAATTAAAAATAGATGAACAGTAGTTTTTCACTACCTGATATCTATTCAGTCCATTAAACAGAACAAACATAACTTAGACTGGAGAATAAAAATGTAAAGTTACACAATTAACAAAAGTACCAAACTGGAACAACTTACTAAACCAACAGTAATGGGATAACAATTAAAACCAATCATGGAAAAACACTTGCACATAAAAATTGTGAAATAATTTCCTTACAAAGTAAGGTGTTAAGGAAAAACACTTGCACATAAAAATTGTGATACATCTATTTGAACCGTTTCACAACTAAAATTTAGTATCTGTTGAGATGTCTCTGCACAAGATTTGAACAATAACACCAAACTATATGAAACTTTTTCACTTTTTTCTTTAAGATGATTACCAATTGATTTCTATGTTAGAAGGTAGTTTTCTCATTATAATTCATGCAATCAAGAATCAATTATTAAAAACTTTTCTACGTATATTTTAATTAAAGAAAAATTGTCAAAGTAGTATATAATTATATTTACACAATTTGCAAGGTACAATAATTGTAGCAAGGAAAGAGAATAATCTAGAAAATAAAATTATTATTAATTTTTAAAACGTACATGGTATATCATGCTAAAGGAACGCAACACAGAAAACAAGAGCTCAGGACTGTTATCATGAGCAAATTTTGATCAGAGCAAAAAAGCTAAGTGTTATCACAATGAGCAAACATGGAACAAAACAAAGAGCTTAGAAATGTTACATATCAGTCAAGGAAGCTAAAGTCTTAATGAAATCTTCAATGAGTACTTTATGAAAAAAAACCAAATGTATATAATGTGCACAAAATCTTCCATTTGTCCAACTTTATTTTGCCCTTACTTACGAAATTTAAATTTGTGTCTCATTCACATAATTTATGATAAAAATAAAAATTCACATTTTTAAAGACTTTAAATCAAACTATTAAAATTATCATATCAATTTTTGACATCTCTATATTTTATTCACCAAAAATGCAAAACTTCATGGAGAGTGATTGAAGAATACAGAATCTGTGAACTATAAAGTTCTGACTGTTTTATAAAAAAATCTTGCATGAGCCTATATTAACAGTTTTGGAAGCAATGGATCATAAAAGACTCACCTCTCACAAGCAGACATGGAACAAATCAAGAGGCAAAAAATTTATAATCATAAGTATACTTTGAACAATGGAAGGCCACAAAGTTTACGAAAATCAAGAAACTTGGAACAAAGGAAGAAACCCAGAAGGTTGTTTACATCCATAAGCAAACTTTGGACACCACAATAACCAAAACTACTCACATACAAGATCAACATAAATAAAACTGACACAAGATGGTTTCAAATCTGATTATAGTGAAAATATGTTATGGAAACAAAAATAAAGAATGAACACATATACTTTCTGTTTCATTTTTAACCACGTTTGAGTGTCAGAGAAACCAAACTTACTCTGGTGGCCCAGGATGGGAGGCCCCACTTCGTACTGATCAGACGATGGGTTCTTAACACTCCTTCTGTTACTCTCCTGTCAACAACATCAATACCCACTACTGCAGGATTCATAGGGTTTGGATACTTTCTCCATGCTGCTTGCACAACAGTCTCCCACGGATGACTAAAGAATAAAAAAGTGTATCAAATTTCTCATTTTCATGAGAAAAAAGTGGATAATAGTTGGCAATAAAACCCACAAAAATAACTCAACCATCAGTAAGTTGCTTTTTCCAACCATTTCCTGGTAGGAGAAAGCATCTCCACACCACAAAAACTATTTTATGAGCTCGACCTCTCTTCTCAAATTCTTGTTTTTAAAAGGATAAGAACAATGTAAGTGTGAAATTCTGGTTTAACACAACAACCCAGAGCATAAGGCTTCACAATATTACATTTAACTCTGTCTTCACAACCACAATAACATTTATAACATTATCATGAGGTTATTTACATCTTCTTAAGACTTAATAACAACATATTCCATATCTGAGCTTATTAAAATCACTTGAAATTACAAAATCATTTCACTATCGATCCCACTCTAATTCAAGTATCATCAGCACATTGAAGTTACAAAATCATTTCACTATTAATATCACCCTAATTCAAGTATCATCAGCACATTGAAGTTACAAAATCATTTCACTATTAATATCACCCTAATTCAAGTATCATCAGCACATTGAAGTTAGAAAATCATTTCACTATTAATATCACCCTAATTCAAGTATCATCAGCACATTGTTTTCTCCATGTGACTATATATCATGAGTAACAAAAGGAACATTATCCATTTATTCAAACAGTCTTATGACTGCCCATTAATACCTAAAATTTTGCACATTTCTAATTATTTGTAATTTGTTCTAGGTTTGTTTGTTTTTGTAACCTAAAACCTCCCCAATAGACTATCTGTGCTCTGCCCATCACATGTATTGAAACCCAGTTTTTAGTGCCATAAGTCTGTAGACTTACCTGTGTCCCATTGGGAACAGTAATTCTAGGAGAAATTCGGCTTCAAATTTAGCATGAATCTAGGTATCTATAGGTTATAATTAATATACAAGTCACAATAATGCAACCCTAATGGTGATTAACTCAATAAATCAAAATTATGATTAAATCAATTAATGTCATGAAAATAATCAACTAATCAAAATTAATGTTTCCAACTATTCCAGTTATTGAAGTAATGGAAATATCACCATTATGATTTTCACTATTATTTTCTATCAATTCAAGGTTGCTAAACTTAACAGAATAGTGTCACTACAAGAAAATAATCAACTAATCAAAATTATTATTTTCAGTTATTACTTGTTTTTAATTATTCAAATTATCCATTAGTTTAATGTAATCAACTAATGGGTCAAACGATTATTTAACCAGTAAAATCCACTATTCACTCAGCTCCTATACCACCATTACCAATAATCAGGTCAAAATCACCAACATTATACGTTATTATAACTTAATATTCAATTCATAATCAACACCATTATCAGTCCTCATATATACATAGTACAGAATGGTTTAAAATCAAAGTGACAGGCCATAATAAAAACTATCAGATAAAATATGGAAAATGGATGGTCAAATCATATACAATACAGCTATACTATTTCCTTAATAAATCATAACTAACTGTGAGGAGGTTTCAATTACATGATACATAAAATGGATTGACAGAAAAGTGTTACAGAAACAAACAAATCTTAATGCACTAGTTTCTAGAAGTATCAAAACAAGTAAATCATCAATCTATTTACATGACCTTTTACATAGTGCAATTCAACACAGTATTAAATATTTGATGTCAGAATCATCAACTACTCATATTACCCTACATTGCTGATTTAATGACAGTTACTGGCAGAAGAATAAATATCAGACACAGCATACAGAGATACTGAAACTGCAGATAGGCATTTCTGATGTTCTAGAGGCTATGCAAATATAATAAGCATGATTAAAAAAATATTTTTTTATTCTCCACTCGAATATCACCCTACACCCCAATTTGTCAGAGTCTGAGTAAGACTAACATTGTTAACTTACAGACACCTTCAGTGCAAATACTTTTAGACACATTTGATTTTTTTTTGTATACAACAGCTATACATTTCATGTAAAGCTTGCCACATATTGTGTAGATACACATAGCAAATTTGGAATCACAGTCAACAATCCTTCTCCTATACGAGGTCCATCCTGTGCACATTCAGTTAATTTGAATTCAACATCTTTCAAGAACAGATTATGACCTGTGACTGCACTTCTGTTCCAGTGTTTGATAAAATTATAATAAAGTTCATATTAACACAGAATGTAAATAGAAACTAACATACAAATGTGGAAATATTATTATACAGGAGAAACTAGAAAAAATTTAAAATACAGGAAAATTAACATAAAAGAAATGTTAGAAATAACAATACAAAGATCTTGCCTATAGCTGAACATACTAATGAAACTAAACATAATTTAATGTGGAGAAACTGTTATTTTAGCACAACCTGCAAACATTGATGGTAATATTTGTGAATCTATTAAGATAATCAAATGTAATAAAGATAATTTTAAAGTTGTAAATAACGACCAGAGGGAATCAAGACACACAGTAGCTAAAACAACCTGCTGGACAAACAGTGTGTTATTAACAGGATTGATAGTTTAGTAATTTTACACATTCTGTAGTGTGGTAATCCAAAGAATAAAATATTTTCAGTGGATGTGCATTACTGGACCCTCACTTCACGTACCAAATTTCAAGACAATCCATTAAGGAATACATGAGATATAAAATATTCAATTCTGATTAAATTTCTTCCTCAAATGAGGAACTCAAATTACTGATACTGACAAGCTAGAATATAAAAGAACCACCCATCTTTTCTATTTGCTGAGATATCACTCATGTACTGAATCAAACACAGTGGCCCTGCTAACCTCTTTCAATTTTATGAAATGCTCCCTTATACACACTTCTGTTTATGACATGTGAATAACCAATCGAAAGCTCAGAATGTTGCCCTAGTGTCTTTCTCAGCCATTTTCAAGTATTATGACATCATTTCATTCTTTCGATATAAAATTTCAATCTGGTAAGTTGAGTCTTTAATCTGCTCAAACTTTCATATTTTTTTAGACTCATATACAGCTTAGTTACTAAGCTTGATAAATTATAGTGGAATTCTATGGTATCAATACAGTAATTTATGATTTTTGGATATTTCAAATGTATATATATATATAAAAACCTAAAAACATTAATTTTGTTTCACATCCTCCACATGCAAAATTTTATAAAGCTTAAACAAGCAGCAAATGAGTTCAAAAGTCCTAACTAGAAAAGATAATTGTTTGCTTTACTTCTTTATTTACTGTCCTATTGTTTTGGAAAAATAAGTTTAAGAACTTATTTGTAAATCGTATTATAATGGAGCTTGCGATGTATACATCCAAAACTCAGATCTCAGAAACTACCGCACTGATAATCACCAATCATAACTGGGTAATATTTTTATAAATAGGCAGTATTTTTATAGCTGAGCAATAAATAAAACAATTGAAATCTCCACAAAAATATGTTTCAGATTTAACCAATAAAAATTACAAAAAAGGAGTAAGTTTCAAATATAAAACAATCAAAAAAACAAACTTAAAAAAAAATATTTGTTTTTCTTTAGCGAAAATCGTATGAGTGTTGCAACAGAAAAGCGAGACACTTTCATTAACAACTGTGTCTACAAAGAAATATTTCAATAAACTGTACTCTGTGATGTAATGCTGTGATGATAGCGCATTTTTAAACTAAAATGTCAATAAAATCCTTTTTCTCATAGATGGTGAACATTATTGAATGTCAAGTATGAGTACATTGTTGTAGAATTGTTAGACAATTCCAGAAAAAGCTGCATGCCTGTCTTTGGACCACAGGCTTAATAGCCTTCTGCAGGAACTAGCAGTTAAACCTGCCCAGAGGGTCGGTATTTCTGCTAGTAGTAATAATGTATATATAATGTACAATAATTGAAATGTGACTATTTTACAAAATACTAGTCCACTAAAACACAACAAAGACAGGTTACTTTGTAAAGACTAAAAGTCAGTTTTATATTATTGGATATGGTAACATGAGTGCACATGCACCACATCATTGTAACTTCTATACTGTTAGCCAGGCATAGCTGAAATGTCAATATAATAAAAATAATAAATATATATAAATGTATAATGTTATGAGATTTAAGCTATAAAGTCTAAACATTTGTGTTATAATTTGTAGTTATTCTAGAACGAAAAATGCATAACTTATATTTATTTCCAAATGTTTTATGATGGTTATGAAGTTTGTCAAATCTACCAAACCTGTAAAGAGGTTTGTTAATGAAAATAACATATAAAATATAAAGTTTTTTTTTGAGAAACATTTGATAACTATTTGGACATTATAAAGATTTTGCATGTGAAATTTGAAATATTTCTGATGAATAAAAGTATTTTTAATCTTAAAATGAAAATTACTTTGCATGATAGATAGGCAACTTGCAAAATTAAAAAGGCATAAGAAAAATATTGCTTACCAAACCTTAAGACTTAAATAAAAAAAAAAAAAATTAATATCTTGCATATGAAAGCCTTGTAATGTTTACTGATAATATAGCAAATTTTGTGAGCATATGCTTACTAGTTTAAATGTTATAGCATGAAAACTATAACAAGCACAAAATGGTTACAAGGTCAGTCCCAGGGAGTGAGCCCATGCTGAAGGAGTTAGGAAAAAATTTGAAAGATTTAAAAATGATAAGGCTCTTGGGCCAGATAACCCAAGGGTTTGAAGGAGGTTAAGAACTGGATATGCGAGTCACTTGATACTGTTGTGTGTCTGAATAGTGGCCAAGTGCTAAAGGATTGGAAGTTAGCTAATGTCACTCCTCTTTTCAAGGGAGGTAATAAAAAATTGTCCCAGTAATTATAGGCCTATTAGTCTTCTTACACCAGTTGTGAGAAAAGTTTTGGAAAGTCTGATAAAAGATGCTTTGCAAATTCATTTAACAAATTTTAGAATTTTATTAGTTAGTCAACAAGGTTTCACAAAGGGAAAACTTACCTTACAAATCTTTTGAATATTCTTCAAAAAAGTTACTGCTTATGTAGATGAGGGTAAGGGTGTAGATTTGGTGTATCTGGATTTTCAGAAAGCATTTGGCAAAGTGCCACATTAAAGGCTTGTAAAAAAAAAAATTCTCTCTATAAGTGTGAGGGATAAGTTAGCTAATTAGATAGAAGAGTGGCTGGATG